AATACTATTCCAACCGTCTTCTTTTGTCTCCATTCTAGGTCGTACCTTCTGTTATACTACACTGGGCGGAACAGGAAGTCAAGTACACGTTGAATGGTGATAAATGCTTGCAAACTAATTGCGAACAGATCAGCGGTCACCTGACCAACCACCAAAATCCATTGCATATTCATAGAAACATAGTTAAGCTTTGGCATGAGGAGAAATGAAAAAACTCACCAGCAGTACCATACAATAATGACGATGAATACAGTGAGGATTATTGCCAATAGAATCCCAACCATAAGGCCAACTGTTGCATTCAGAAAACCTTTGGAAGCAAGATAGCAAGATAGACTGTGTTACTAATTGTAAGGGAATTAAAATCAGTCACGTCGAACTAAGTAGATGCCAGCTTCCAGCAAGTTGTTCTGATAGTGTCTTGACTGCAAATTTGGTCAAGCTGAGCGTTCGCTTTGATCAGGTTAGTGGGCACGTGTGTTTATTGCAGTAGGAAGCTTTAGTAATTCTTACTGCTTCTGTAGCTGAGAAACCGCTGGCTTAAAATGCTAGTCCTGTCACAGATTGTGAGTTTGAATACCCTTTTAGAACTACAAAGTTTATGCCTCTGCTGCTTTTAATACGAACCACACATTTAATTAATCATGATCAATTTCTGCATTATAGGGCTAACTCGCAGTTAGCCCCTATGGGGCTGGAAACATGAGAACGCCATTTTCTATGAAGCAGCTTGCAGTTACAAGAGTATCTGAGAGAAGATAACAAGTAATTGATTTGCCGTCCTGGTGTGTGCTAGTGGCAGTGATAGTAGCCAACTGTACTGCAAAAAAACGCGCAAAAAAGAATCTACGAACACGCTTTTTTTAGGCATCTATGTTTGATTCGCTGAAATTCACTGACAGTTTAGTAAGACTGGGATTTATGAATAGAAATTGTCGGTAGCTACTTCAACCTTCAATCGTACGCGATTATCCGCCGTATATCCAAAACCAATTCTTACTCTGTGATGAAAAACTATTGAAAAATCGATAAGAAAGTTACGGATCATGGTTACCGGAGATCATAGATCAGAAACTGATGGGCAAGGTGGTTGGTTGTAAAATTTCCCGATATTCAAACCTAGACTGTTGGTTTCCCGTCATCATGCAGCGTTAATGAATCCCAAATGATAGCCTGTACTTGAACACTAGCAAATGATCTACAAGCGCCTAATCACCAGTGACATGGTTAATAGGTTTTTGGGAAGCTATGTGGTGCAATGTGTCAGTGCAAGCACACTTACTGGTAGTGTGCATATGCCCATGTATGTATTGCTAGCCGGGCCTGACATTCACTTACGACTGGTTGCATACCCATGCATTTACATGCCCCATTAGTCTGTGTTCTGGTTGATCGACGTCTATATGATTGTTGAGTTCGTCCCCTTCAACTTCCCTTTACTGGTCGGCACTCGGGTAACCTTTGACTTGGATAGCGCCGTCCTGCATGCCGTGACCTCTAGGAGGATTCATCAGTAAAAGACTAATTTCCTGATACTTGTCCCCTCTCGTGAGTGGCCTCTGTCGTAAATGATCGTACATTAATACATGGCCGTCAATTAGTCAGGGAATAGGTTAAATCTTGAATTTAGTTTAGACTAATATGGTAGCGCCTCTTCTCACGATACAGTCAAGTTGAAGCGTGCCTTTTCCGAAAGAATCGCACTATAGGCGATCAACTTTGGTGCAGCAGCTTCAGAGTAGAGAACATACAATCAAACAGAATCGTTGCAACAGAAACAATCAGGTTGCAGACTGACACGCGGTTTTTTTTATCATACCCCTATGCTAATTTAAGTGTCATCTAGTCATAAACGGCCCAACATGCAATGACTACGCTTGAAAGACGGTCGTTTAGTAGACCATGCTACTTCTAGTCACAGGAAGAGAATACTACCGCTAACCATTTCTACTGATGGTCTCGTTAAAAATTCCGCTTGGATGATTTCTGTATCTATCTGTTTGCTTGCAGATGGTGTTCGGCATTTGTTTTACACACAAACTCACCGTTATACAGGTGACAGTACTTCCCAATATACTCAGGCGTGCATCTGAAATTGTAAAAAAAATTGTCTTATGGTGATAATGCACTTTTGAAGTGTNAACAGATCAGACCATGCTATTTGCCTTTCCGAGGAATTTTATTTCACAGGATGTGTTCTTGGACGAAAACTCAGTGACCTTTTTTGTTTACCCTGAGAAATCCATTTATTTACGTACCATTTCTCCACGCCTGTTTGATTAGGAAATTTATCTGTCCATTAAGCCTAACAGAAAAACCAACCAGTCATTCCATTCAAGCTATGAAATAGGCTGTAGCTTATCCAGACTTACAGCAGAGCTTATTCGCCGTCGGCAGTAGAACGAGTAAAATAACCTGTCTGGCGAAACGCAGTCACGTCGTTAAAAATATACCGGAGTATTAAGAGCTGGGCTGCGTCCACTGGTGATTTATCGACTGGCTGTTGATCTGTTCGCCCAGTTTTACATTTAGCCTGCAGAAGCGACGCTCATAATTAAAGTAATTTCAGCAGTACTTCTTGATGATCTCATCTCGTGTTTAGAGGCTAGCCGTTCTTAATAACCGAAAACCACGTCATTTGGCCGGTTGTGTCGCGAACTGGCTATGTAGCAAACGAAGATAACCCCTGGTTAGTCACACTGTGAGCCATTCACGATTTGATGGCTGGGTGCCCCTAATACCATCAGGAAGATTCCAGAATGACATTGCGGAAACCTTTGTGATCACCATATAAATACTATTCCAACCGTCTTCTTTTGTCTCCATTCTAGGTCGTACCTTCTGTTATACTACACTGGGCGGAACAGGAAGTCAAGTACACGTTGAATGGTGATAAATGCTTGCAAACTAATTGCGAACAGATCAGCGGTCACCTGACCAACCACCAAAATCCATTGCATATTCATAGAAACATAGTTAAGCTTTGGCATGAGGAGAAATGAAAAAACTCACCAGCAGTACCATACAATANAACAGATCAGACCATGCTATTTGCCTTTCTGAGGAATTTTATTTCACAGGATGTGTTTTTGGACGAAAATTCAGTGACCTTTTTTGTTTATCCTCAGAAATCTATTTATTTATGTACCATTTCTCCACGCCTGTTTGATTAGGATATCTATCTGTCCGTTAAGCCTAACAGAAAAACCAACTAGTCATTCCATCCATGCTATGAAATAGGCTGTAGCTTATCCAGACTTACAGCAGAGCTTATTCGCCGTCGGCAGTAGAACGAGTAAAATAACCTGTCTGGCGAAACGCAGTCACGTCGTTAGAAATACACCGGAATATTAAGAGCTGGGCTGCATCCACTGGTGATTTATCAACTGGCTGTTGATCTGTTTGACCAGTTTTACATTTAGCCTACAGACGCGACGCTCATAATCAAAGTAATTTCAGCAGTACGTACTGATGATCTCACCTCGTGTCCAGAGGCTAGCCGTTCTAAATAACCGAAAACCACGTCATTTGGCCGGTTGTGTCCCGAACTGGCTACGTAGCAAACGAAGATAACCCCTGGTTAGTCACACTGTGAGCCATTCACGATTTGATGGCTGGGCGCCCCTAACACCATCAGGAAGATTCCAGAATGACATTGCGGAAACCTTTGTGATCACCATATAAATACTATTTCAGTCGTCTTCCTTTGTCTCCATTCTAGGTCGTTTCATATCATCGTACCTTCTGTTATACTACAATGGGCGGAACAGGAAGTCAAGTTCACGTTGAATGGTGACAAATGCTTGCAAACTAATTTCGAACAGATCAGTGGTCACCTGACCAACCACCAAAATCCACTGCATATTCATAGAAACTTAGTTAAGCTTAGGTATCAGGAGAAATGAAAAAACTCACCAGCAGTACCATACAATGATGACGATGAATACAGTGAGGATTATTGCCAATAGAATCCCGACCATAAGGCCAACTGTTGCATTCAGAAAACCTTTGGAAGCAAGATAGCAAGATAGACTGTGTTACTAATTGTAAGGGAATTAAAATCAGTCACGTCGAACTAAGTAGATGCCAGCTTCCAGCAAGTTGTTCTGATAGTGTCTTGACTGCAAATTTGGTCAAGCTGAGCGTTCGCTTTGATCAGGTTAGTGGGCACGTGTGTTTATTGCAGTAGGAAGCTTTAGTAATTCTTACTGCTTCTGTAGCTGAGAAACCGCTGGCTTAAAATGCTAGTCCTGTCACAGATTGTGAGTTTGAATACCCTTTTAGAACTACAAAGTTTATGCCTCTGCTGCTTTTAATACGAACCACACATTTAATTAATCATGATCAATTTCTGCATTATAGGGCTAACTCGCAGTTAGACCCTATGGGGCTGGAAACATGAGAACGCCATTTTCTATGAAGCAGCTTGCAGTTACAAGAGTATCTGAGAGAAGATAACAAATAATTGATTTGCTGTCCTGGTGTGCGCTAGTGGCAGTAATAATAGACAACTGTACTGCAAAAAACGCGCAAAAAAGATAGAATCTACGAACGCGCTTTTTTTAGGCATTTATGTTTGATTCGCTGAAATTCAATGACAGTTTAGTAAGACTGTGATTTATGAATCGAAATTGTCGGTAGCTACTTCAACCTTCAATCGTACGCGATTATCCACCGTGTATCCGAAACCAATTCTTTCTCTGTGATGAAAAACTATTGAAAAATCGATAAGAAAGTTACGGTTCATGGTTACCGGAGATCATAGATCAGAAACTGATGGGCAAGGTGGTTGGTTGTAAAATTTCCCGATATTCAAACCTGGACTGTCGGTTTTCCGTCATCATGCAGCGTTAATGAACCCCAACTGAAAGCCTTTACTTGAACACTAGCAAATGATCTACAACCGCCTAATCACCAGTGACATGGTTAATAGGTTTTTGGGAAGCTATGTGGTGCAATGTGTCAGTGCAAGCACACTTACTGGTAGTGTGCATATGCCCATGTATGTATTGCTAGCCGGGCCTGACATTCACTTACGACTGGTTGCATACCCACGCATTTACATGCCCCATTAGTCTGTGTTCTGGTTGATCGACGTCTATATGATTGTTGAGTTCGTCCCCTTCAACTTCCCTTTACTGGTCGGCACTCGGGTAACCTTTGACTTGGATAGCGCCGTCCTGCATGCCGTGACCTCTAGGAGGATTCATCAGTAAAAGACTAATTTCCTGATACTTGTCCCCTCTCGTGAGTGGCCTCTGTCGTAAATGATCGTACATTAATACATGGCCGTCAATTAGTCAGGGAATAGGTTAAATCTTGAATTTAGTTTAGACTAATATGGTAGCGCCTCTTCTCACGATACAGTCAAGTTGAAGCGTGCCTTTTCCGAAAGAATCGCACTATAGGCGATCAACTTTGGTGCAGCAGTTTCAGAGTAGAGAACATACAATCAAACAGAATCGTTGCAACAGAAACAATCAGGTTGCAGACTGACACGCGGTTTTTTTTTATCATACCCCTATGCTAATTTAAGTGTCATCTAGTCATAAACGGCCCAACATGCAATGACTACGCTTGAAAGACGGTCGTTTAGTAGACCATGCTACTTCTAGTCACAGGAAGAGAATACTACCGCTAACCATTTCTACTGATGGTCTCGTTAAAAATTCCGCTTGGATGATTTCTGTATCTATCTGTTTGCTTGCAGATGGTGTTCGGCATTTGTTTTACACACAAACTCACCGTTATACAGGTGACAGTACTTCCCAATATAATCAGGCGTGCATCTGAAATTGTAAAAAAAATTGTCTTATGGTGATAATGCACTATTGAAGTGTATTAACTTTTCGATGAAAAATAAAGTTAATCAAGTGCAACGTGCTGTACAGAACTCATTTTTTTGAAAACGAAGAATTCATAATGACCTGCTATTTATCTTGTTCACTCGGAGGTTATTCGTTATCACAGAATAAAGTCTGATTCATACGCGCGATGCAACAGAAGGCAGTCTAAATTACTTGTGCGTGTTTATCACTGATTCTTCCTTGCTATTAGGAACACCACTTTAAGTAAAGTGAAATATGACCCCATATCATTGTATCAGTTTTTATCTTCAAACAGAACGTACTCATAAGGAGGAAAATGGTCTAGATACTCCACTTGTGCCCACAAAGTGACCGATAAAGAAAGTAAACGTGACGCGCATGCTGAGATGCAAACCATTTTAAGTGTGTGCACTGTGTAGGCACTGTGTTCTGATAAAATCTATCTGGCAATCACTACCACAAACAAGAATAACAGTGTGAGATCAATGGGACCCAACTTTTATGACCTCATGAATACTCTGAACGTAATGGTCTATATTTTCTTTGCCTCCTTCCTAGCAACTCTCCAAAAAGTGTGCAGGATAAACCAGTACAATTATTTTTAAAGACAACATTACTCATAAGGTTGCTGAAAACTCTATAGCCCACGGCCGTTTTCGCCATTCTTGAGAATTATCAGTTTGGCGCAATCCCCGCGTTTTCCTCAGGAGCATTCTAAACGAGAGATTCACTTGAGTCACTCGTGAAAACCAAACTGATTTGCAAACCACTGCATTTCATAGTACAATTACGCTCTGGTGGGTTCATTAGTCTGTCAGGAGAAGAAGAAACGGGAGAAAGTTCTTAACACACGCTTCATACGAATTCCCCGTGTTAGCCAAATGGACGCCAGTGTGGTGAACTAACCTCTACTAATAAAACACAAAATTACACTACTTTTTATCTCTAGCGCCACACTTATACTTTACCCATCAGCAGACGCTTTTCGCAAGATGAACCGATGGTTTTTAGGAGCACGGCACTGAAGAGAGACAGACAGACAATCATCTTCAAGCCCAGTCATGAAGGACGAGATCTATCCAGATGACATTTCGGATGCGACATGGGGACAGTATAAAAACCGAAACACATGGAACAGCTGATATCATCACAGAACTGATAATATAAAACAAGTCAACTTTATCGAAAAAATTTTTGGGTATTTTTGACAATTTGTAGTACATTTCCCGAAAATAACCAAACTTGTAACATGGGGTAGACCGCGCGAAAAGACCTCCGATTTCTGATAGACCAACTTACAGCTTCGGTATGCGACTCGAGAACAGAGGCTTAAGTAGATATGGCCTTGCAAAATGCGTACCTATATAGATAAGGTACAGAAATTCAAGCTGTTCAGTACCTGACTTGAGCTAACAGTTACAGGTTTGGCTTCTTGTTTAACTGGCTTAGACAAAAAACTACTTCCGTGACACCCTCAAAATTACTGTTCAAATGATCTCAAAGGATAATTTCAGGGAATACAAAGGATGCTTGTTGCATAAGGGTATCTAAACTGTTCATCAAACACGCATTTATAAAGCGGATTTTTTCAATATAAATTTGAGTATAGAAAAATATATTTTTGTTGACCGAAGCCAAACGCATCTGCTTTGTGCGTAGGGTATTGTTCCACTTTGAAAATGCCAAAGGTTTTGATCCATAACCCATTGCTTGTACTATTAATTTGTGAAACGAACGTAGGTATGATGAACCCCTGTGGTAGGCAGTTGGTCCGATATCTAATGGGGTTACGAACCGAAAACAATGATTCTAACTTTGTGTGTGCCCATTGTTATGCTGTCACGTTTAAGCAAGCCACTTATTCGCAAGGATCCTGTGGACATTTAACTATTGATCTTATCCCCTTCCGATTTGCACTGACACAACGGGACTGAAAGGAAGGTCTCCGTTGCGGAGTATTTATTAGAAAATGCCAACTGACCAGTTGCAGACCATTGTACAAGGAAGCAAAACTCTCAGATGCATCTTATTTACAAAAACTGAACATCCATCTTCCCTTAAACGCGTCTTCCTGAACTTTCCTGGATATTCATTGACTGTTGCTCAAACTGGTACAAAGAGACTCCACAAATTCCGCAATGGATCTCCCTTTTCAAGAGACGCAAAGCGAATTTACAAGAAGAAAACATACGACTCGCATGCCTCCCCCATCAGATGTATCACCGTTACGCCACCACAAAGCATCTGTGGCCTGACCGCCATTTGCCAGTAAATCCACTTAGGTTGCTGGCCACCCATATTCATATATACATGCTCCCATATTTGTAATATAACCAATGGAAGAAATATATAAATCCAGTCTTTTTCATTCGTACTCATTTCAAAGCCGGGATTTCTAACGCGTCCTCGGAGTTACCTGTGTTTAAATCAAGCTTGATTTTCGCGAGTCGAGATGCCGCGGAAGTCACTCGGATTGTCGTGTCACAACAAACGATTGCTTGCTTCATGCGGGTTCTCAGCTGGGTTGCTGCTTTTGAGTAGAGCTTGTAAATCAGTTACCAGAATGATAACAACTGTAGACTAAACCTCGTGCACTGTTCTCGCTATAGCTTACCGCTGATTGCCTTTTTGCCCCACTTTCTCTGAAAACACGTAGTTATCGTGAATAAACTTCAGCTTCTGACCAGTTTCCCCTTCTTGGGGTTCATCAGGTGAGCGCAGTCCCCGAGTTTTCGTCAACCTTATGTTCAACTTGAAACTTAGTGACTAGGCCCCAAGAAAAGCGAAACTGGTCGTGGGTTGCCGACAAATTTTCGGAAATCTTATGAGTAGTGCATTACTAATATACATGCACCGCGATATCTCGAATATCGTAGCGACTGAAACATGAGGCGGCCTGGTGCGGAACATTCACTTGCCTGGAAACATCATAAACGAGGGATTTAGTTGGGTTCCAGGCAAGTCTCTCGCAAAACCAAATTATTTTGCAAGTGCGTGTGTTTCGCAAAATTCAGCTTTCCTGATTTTTCCTTGTTTCAATGTACACAGGTAGTAGAATAACCTCGTTACCACTTAGGTAATGGGATATTTTTCCGGGTTTCCAACCTTGACGAAGTCGATTAGGTAAAACTAGCTGATTACCAACAACTCCCTGGGTTGTTTTGCCACAGAGAATTCGTCAAAGAATCTCATTTGGCCCGAAAGTACGAAATTCTAAACGAGCCAGCTGACTTACATCAGCTTTGTGCTCTGTTGTACAAGTTAGACCAGTTTGCGTACGACAAATCACCAACTTCCAGGCCATATCGCTTCCACATTTAATTTTTTTTAATAATTGAAGCATATTTTCCACATTATGAAACTTAAAAGTGGTTTGACTTTTCTAGGTTTTGAACAAACGTTTGAACATATTTTGTTTCAGTCACATTAACTCAAAACGTTTTGAAAGCTCGCCTTTCTGGAACGGTCAAAGAACATTGATCTATCGGAGTAACCAAAACAAAAGCCCTAACGCCACGAGAATTCAAATGACGATTTTGCTTTTTGAAACGGAGACGGTGCGCTTGGCAAGGAGAAGACGGACAGCAGTCTGGATTTCTACGCTGGTGATGGTCTAGCGCTTATTGTAGTGAGGGAGACGTCTGAGCTCAGCATCATTCCGCTCAAAAATGTTGTCGACGAAGGAATTCATGATCGACATAGGTTTCGAGGGGATGCCAATGTCGGGGTGCACCTAACGGAGGACCTTGTAAATGTAGATAGCATATGTTTCCTTTCTCTGCTTCATCTTCTTGTCGACCTTTGGAACCTTCCCCTTCGATGTCTTCTTTGCAGCCTTGCCATGAGGCTGTAGAGCAACGCAAGTCTTTTGTGAGAACTACTCTATTTTAATTGAGATACTGAAAAAATTCCTCCAGATAGTTCTGTGTCAAAATGTTTCACTGCTTCGTAAATCGGCAAGCGAGTAGGTCTACAAAGCTTTTAATTCCCACAGTTTGTCAGACATCCACTGTCTCCTTAGTCTTTTGCCACAGCCCATTTTAGCCAGTTCGGCAATCTTTTGATGCTCACCACACGAGGTCGGGAGCCTTTGCCCATACTTCGTTTTGTAGAACGGATGAGCTTAAAAACTTACTTTACAGAGTATTCTGCCGTGGGCTATGGCTAAAAACGGGTCATTAAATGTTGCTGGAATCTGATTTTTCGCCTAGTAGCCAGGTGTTGTTGTGGTACTAAACCCAACTCAACGGGAGCTAAGTATCGAATCAGTTGGATTCCATAACCTGTATGTCTGTAACACTCAAATGTTTAACTATACGAAACTAAGAACCATTGAAATTCGCTACATTTATATGGATTATCACTGGTGGTGTGTCAGAATCCTGAATGGAAATTGAAGTGGCATCCCCCGGTTCATGGTTGCCAGTAGTATGATTGACTTTCGCCGACCACGCCAAGTCTAATCAATATATGGTTAAATCAAGTCAGTTTGATTGGTTCTTCTAGGAAGCATTTTCAGATACATCTGTTATTAGTAAAGCATAGTTAGTACGGCAAGGGAAGATTGCATCACCTCTTCTGAGAGATCGTCACCCTAGAGCCAGTCAAAAGCAACTGGTTAACTTCATTATATACACCTGGGAATGACCGGTTCCACAAACTCTTTCGCAAATTTTCTCTTCATTTCCTTTTCCACAGTTCGGTTACATAAATAGTTAAAGTTGCAGAGTGAAGTACAAGATTTGTCAACAAGCAGTTTGCATCGTCTTGTTTCTAGCCATCAGTCTCAAAAATGAATATAAGTCCAGTTGCCTGAGTAGTCAAAAACAATACAACATGGCAAAACTTATATATTCGCTTTGACCAGCCAGAATATCTAATAATCAAACTTGCGTTTTATCACATTGTTTTGTAACACTTATCGAGAAAATCAGCTACCTTGCAATCTCACAAGACAGTTG